GGGGGGGGGGGGGGCGATGTCCAGCAGGGCTGGGCGCAGCGGTGGCGGGCGGCGACGGGGCCATGTTGACAATAAGACTGCCTTTTGCTGGTGGGCAGCCGTGGCTGGTGGAACGCTGCCGTCGCCGCTGCTGGTAGGGTCTTTTGGTCGATCAAAGACTGACTTTGGAGACCCAAGTTGAACACACACACACACACACACACAAACACACACACAAACACGCGCGCGCGCGTGCGCGCCTGCTTTTGAGCACGCCCATTACGCATCCGGCCCCACTCACACGTCCATCCCACCTACCCGACACACACACACCCCCAGGACATGTGCCTGTACATGCGCATGGTGTGTGACACCATCGTGACGACCGTGCCCAAGAGCGTGGTGCACTGCCTCGTGCGCAAGGCCGAGAAGAACCTGCTCAACCACCTCTTTGCCTACGTGCACAAGATGAGCCCGGAGCAGCTCAAGAGCATGCTGCAGGTCGGTGTGACGGCTGGGCGGTTAGGGGGTGGTGGGTGGGTGGGTGGTTGGTGGGTGGTTAGTGGGTGGTGGACGGGTGGTGGATGGATGGTGAGTGGGTGGTGGGTTGGGTGGGCGCTGAGTTGGTCGATGGGCCGTTTAGTTGTGTGGGTGGGGCGTGACTAGGGGGTTGGGTGGTTGACAAGGGTGTTATTGTTTCCGTCACGTGCGTGTGAGGTGTGGCACGAGCGGCGAGGATGGGGAGGGGCCGGCGACGCGTGACGTGAGGGGTGCTGTGACACTATATGATCCCGTCATCACAGCGGCCCTCACGCGGGCGCTGGGCGTCGCCCCCGCGCTCTCGCCCCGGTGGGACGAGACCGGCTCGCCCGGCTTTCCGCGCGGCGCCCCCTCCCCTCCCCTCCCCTCCTCTCCTCTCCTCAACCTTCCAGCGGCACAGCCGTCGCCGCGTCCACGCCGCGGGCGACGCCTCCCCACTCTCGTCCGCCCGATGCGCTCGGCCCTCGCGCCCGCCGTGCAGACCGCGCCGCCAGGCTCCCTTCACCTTGGCCACCAACCCTTGACCCCCAACCACAATAACAC